GATCATTATCCAAATGATGGTGTCTTAATGAAAATGTTGAAGTATCTTAGGAACAGAACTCCTGGAGGCTTCAAATATTATTATTTGTTTCCGTCTAGAAGCTGCCAGATACATTGTGGCGTCCATGAACTGGTCTTAATAATCACCTAATGAGCCTATTCATCACTTGTAAGCACAGAATCTGTCTCAGCGGAGAGGAAAACAAGAAATTACAGGCAACAGAACAAGAGCTCTGGCACTTATTTAAAATTTTTTTCCATTATTGGACTTTGCCCAAATCTTTGTTCCAACACACACCGGTGAATATTGTAAACTACATGTTTTGTGATGCTCTTAATGTCTGTAATCCTTTCCTCCTTCTTCATTATGTGGCCGAAGGAATGTCTTCTTCCAGAGCACTACATATGCAAGGATCTTAATCACGGGTCATTGGGTTGACTACAGGAGTCACTACATATTGTGCCAAGTTAGCTCAGGACTGATTTGAAAATCATACCCACGCAGAAACATACGTCATAATTTGCTCGAAATACCTCTCCTCCTCTTCTCCTGATGACCACGTCCATATTCTTTCAGTTTGCTTCACAAAGGCTACACTCACACACAGATACATATTACATAGGTGTCTTGTTTTTGCTGTGTGAAACAGTTGTGTTGAAACCAAAGACGCGTGTAAGGAAAGGTTACCTATCACTGAGAGGCTCGTGTGGACAGGGCCAGAGTACAGAGCCCCAGAGCAGAAGCACTGATGGCCCAACGCCAAAAGATCTGAAGTCAGCCTTCAGCACCCGGCACAGAGACTCAGGACAGATTTCTGCTCCGTCTACCTGTCGGCACTCACAAACTGGGCATTGTTAAATGTAGGATCAATGAACATTACTTATGCATCCGGAGCTAACTCAATATTTTAGAGGGCAGTCTGCTCATTTTTAGGATGAGAAGGTCATCCGGGACACTCCCTCACTCTCAGACGATGGCCGCACTAATCTGTTCATTGACACGACATGTTTATTAACATACAGTATTCTGCTTAAGAACAACACAAGTAAAGGCATTTTTCATTTTCATGACTTCACTCTTTTTTTTTTTAGACGGACAGAATTGGAAAGCTCTTCTCGTCTGTGCATCACCTTTAATAACAAACAGCATCCACGAAGTTTGAACACAGAACACAACAGATACTATTTATCGTGATTCTGAGTCTACCCTCTGAGTTCTGAATGTACCAAAAAAATGCTCCCTGCATCAGTTAGGTAGCTATTTCGACGCTTGACTTGTTCTACCTCATGACCTCAGCAGCTATTCTTTGTATGACTGAGTGAGTGAGTGAGTGAGTGAGTGAGTGAGTGAGTGAGCGAGTGAGTGAGCGAGTGAGCGAGCGAGTGAGTGAGTGAGTGAGTGAGTGAGTGAGTGAGTGAGCGAGTGAGCAGGTGAGCGAGTAAGCAAGTGAGTGAGTGAGTGAGTAAGCAAGCTTTACCGACCATCATTAATTTAAGTTTTGTTTTTTTTTGCACTGAACATCGTTGCAGTTCTTGTGCAGGAAGGGAAAGTGACATTGCTAGACTTGATTGAATGGATTGTAAAAATGTTAAGATAAAAATGTTGTGCTCATATGTGAACAGTTGTGCGTCCATCCAAAGAAAAAAAGAAAAAAATCTGAACAAAAATCATTGAAACTCAAAAGTTCAACATTTCTCCATCAAACATCAGCCCAGATCATAGAGTACTAAGACTGGGAACCTCAAAACCATAGTTTAAGTTTCAAACACCCACAAATAAATAGTGCTTTGGAGTAAATCTGATTGTCGTACTGACTTGCGGTTAATAGCATTGCCAACATGTTAATGCAAATTAAGTGAGGTTTTCTGTTGGGATAAGCTGGATCAAGTGACAGTCAGGGAAAAGGGTCAATAGTCATTAACTTAGAGATAATCATTAGCTAACCTCAGCTTTGCTGAACTATATTGTGTCAGTCATTACACCACATTGGTTTGGGAAATCTTTAAAGGGGGTGGCTAATCTGTTGACTTCAATCCACAGAGGTCTCTGGATTGATCTGATACACCACCTTTTGCACTCTAACGTGCAATTCATCTCTATTTCTTTATTTCACTCCCAGGAATTGTGGCTTTTTCCTCAATTTTGAGGGTATGAACAGTTGTTAGAGTTTTCTTTTGAGACTCATCTGTAAAGAGTCAAAGAGTTTTTACACTTTTAAATGGTGAAAGTACCTTCAATGTAGAGAGACAGCAGATGGTTCAATGGAAGGTCCTGGTCCCGTCTTCCTAAATCATTTATCCTTTCTTGACTGAGACTTGTGTTATTACAATTCATGGCCCTACATATTGACTCTGAAATATCCAGGCCATATATCGATGATTCCTCGGTGCTGTCCATGGTACTGAAGGGGTGAATGAAGAGGTACTTGTCTTATTTTCTCTCAGCATGATGTGTCTGTCAGCCTCATCTCCAATAGCCACTTTTCTGTTTTTTTCCGAGTGATATTGAACATTATTCTTTATATTCGGAAGAAATATTGTTGCCTTCATGAGCATATGACAATCATTGTGTACATTCTGCTCTGAGGTGATATTCTCTAACTAATGAATTTTGTATGAAAACTGTAACAACAAGGTTTTCAATGTGAGGACAGTTTTAGAAAGTAGGATTGCTGTTAAAACATCCACATTGTGGTTTTGTAAGACTGCGTGCGCCAATGAACAACAGGAAAAAAAAAATGTTTTTATTAAATTTTATTTTATTTTTTTTAAGTGAAAACCTAATAATGTGTTTACTAATACAAAGTGAAAACACAAAGAACATGAACATAAAAAATAGAAGAATGTTTTTTAAAATTATATTAATAAAAACATTAACAGATTTTTTACTAAATTTAAATAAATAAATAATAATAAAAAACATTCTTAAGTGAAAACCTAAGAATGTCTCTACACATGTCTACACATTATTACACAGTAAACATTAAAATAAATGATAAAAATATGTAAAATATGTAAATAAAAGTAATTTAATACATATAAAATAAATACAAATGTTAAGAAGTTTTTTTAAACTAAAATAGCTAATAAATAGATAAAAACATTAAAATTAAATGTAAAAAGTGAAAACCTAATAATGTGTTGTATGTAGTTCAAGAATAGGATGAGAAATCAGTGGACTTCCCTGAAGTATTTTAGCATCTCTCATACTGTAACAGGATGAGGGAGACTATCTCTCTAGAACTTGAGACTAGTTTTGCACTAGGACACCCCACAGGAAATGGAATGTTATTTGTGTGGGCCTCAGGCTGCCGCTGGTACTCCTGCTAGCCCTGTACTGTTGAAAGAATGCCAATGAGTAAGGAAGTTATTTCTCAAGTACGGGTTGTAGTTACATCCAAAGAGCTGCAATGTGGATAGTGCAGAGCTTTTTGTCTTTGTGTCTTATAGCCCTGTGGTGGGCTGGCCTTTCATCCAATGACAGCTAGGATAAAATTTAGCCCCGCCATCAACCCTGAGCAAGATTAACCAGGTAAGGAAAATTAATGGCTTGTATTTTATTATAGGACTTAACCAAATCTTGCTTCAGAGGAGTTCTAAGGTTGAGAAGGTATGCAGGTAGAATGTGAAAACATATTGCAGGATCAGGCTGTATGGTGTAATACTATTTCTGAAACAATAAAGAATAACAAAATACTTGAAATAGGGCATCAAATTTATTTCAAGTAAAAGTTTCCTGCTTTACAACAAAAACAGGACTGTGACATCCTAATATCCGGGAGAGCATGAGTTATTTTAGGTCTTTTACTCTGTTTTGTACCTCAGAAGGAAATTAGGCATTGTTCTGTAAAGCCATCCTGAGACACAATATCCTTGAGCAGTGTTTTGATTAAAGCACGTGGACATTGCAGGTCTGTAGATAATGGAAGTGGCCAGAAACAGTCAACACGGGTTGTTTGTTCAGTATTTGACCGCTGCTTCCCCAAATGTGGTGTTATTTTTCACTGCTAAAGTGATAATGTGTGAAGCTATCTGTGCCTACATGTGTGCAGGTGCTTGCCTGACCACCTGAAGGTTCAAATGCTACTGCCCACATAGAGGATTTCTCTGCAGAGCTGATCTGCCCCTGTGATAACTGTTGCTCTAAATTGAGAGCTTGCACCTCCCTGATGTCGTAGCCATCCCACTGCGACAATGGAAAATGTTACACAGGAGAGTGCAGGGTTGGAACACAACAGTGATATTTTTCACGACAAATGTCACGGTGCCCAGATGGCTGTGTCCACCTGGGACAATGAGAGAAGACCATAATGGCACTGTCTTGCAGAAAGTCAAGATATCAAGCTACAGCCTTGTCCTCCAATACAACAGTCCAGTGTGGAGAGCCTTGTCCTACGCCCAGAAAATATGCATTCACACCTTACCCTTAATGAAAGGGCCATGCGTGATGTTACCACATGCACAGGGGGTTTGCTGCCCTCTGCTGACAAGGGAAGACAAAGGGTATTTTCTGATTCCTGAGCTTGTTTGAAAAGCTGTTCCAGGAGTTAAAACTAAGTAAAGTATTGGAGTATATCTCAAAGCTTTGCCTAAAGTTAACACAAAAACTGATTATATAGGGCATTTAGTGAGTGCTTACACACGCTAATTGTGTGTGTGCTCAGAAAGGTTCAAGCTTTATTCAATTCAATGTTGTCCAATAACTCTAATGATTTTATATTCTGTCAGTCATGGGACAGACATAAAGACACAGTTAGAACATGCAGACTCAACACACTGGGGACTTGAACCCAGAACCCTCTTGCTGTGAGGCAATGGTGCTAACCACAACCTTGTTATTCATATAATGTGAAAAAATGTGACTATTTGATGTTAAAATGCTGAGTTAGTTAATATGTTTTGAAACTGGAAAAGAGTAACTTTTTCTCTTTTTTGTTTTTGAAGCGATCTCCCTGGACATGACAACGCTCTTGTAAAGGTTGGATGCCTCTAAAACAGAACATGGACAGAGAAAACATGGTGAACTCTACAGTGAACACCAGCGTGATAGACATCCCCATGGGCACCCACAGTCTCTGGGAGGTGATCACCATTGCGACTGTGTCAGCTATAGTGAGCCTCATCACCATTGTGGGAAATGTTCTTGTTATGGTCTCTTTTAAAGTCAACAGCCAACTGAAGACAGTTAATAACTACTACCTGCTGAGTTTGGCAGCTGCTGACCTCATAATTGGTGTTTTCTCCATGAATCTGTATACTTCTTACATACTCATGGGATACTGGGCCTTGGGGAACCTTGCATGTGACCTATGGCTGGCATTGGACTACGTGGCTAGTAATGCCTCCGTCATGAATCTGCTTGTGATCAGCTTTGACAGATATTTCTCCATCACCAGGCCGCTGACCTACAGAGCTAAAAGGACTCCTAGACGAGCTGGGATCATGATTGGCTTAGCTTGGCTAGTGTCACTGATTTTATGGGCCCCGCCTATTCTCTGCTGGCAATACATTGTAGGGAAAAGGACTGTACCTGAGAGGCAATGCCAGATCCAGTTTTTTTCCGAGCCTGTAATAACATTTGGGACAGCAATTGCAGCTTTCTACATCCCTGTGTCAGTTATGACGATCCTATACTGTCGCATCTACAAGGAGACAGAGAAGAGGACCAAAGATCTGGCAGAGCTTCAGGGGGTTAACTATCATACGGACTCTGAAGTGACACAACCTCAAAAAACTGTAATTAGATCATGCTTCAGCTGTAAACTAAGATCAGCTTCACGTGATATGAACCAAGCCTCCTGGTCCTCCTCCAGCAGAAGCAACGCTGCCAAGTCAGCTGCCACCACCAGTGACGAATGGTCCAAGGCTGGTCAGCTGACCACCTTCAACAGCTACGCCTCCTCAGACGATGAGGAAAGGCCAGTGTCTCCAGCAAGCTTCCGGCCATCCATCAGGAGCCAGGCTTGTGAGGCCAACAAGAGTGGGGTGGCCAGTGAGAGCGAACAACTCAGCAGCTACGACGAAGACAGTTTTTTCCAGACACCACCCAAAAGTAACTCTCAGAAAAGCAACAAGTGTGTGTCCTACAAGTTTAGACCGGTGAGCAAGGACGCTCTGGTGGAGCAGCGGACCAAAAACGGAGACACCAAAATGGTATCATCAGCGTTCTCCTCAGCTGAGTCCATGAGTGCTCCATCCACATCTTCTGCATCAAAGCCTGCGGACACTTCCCTAAAGAACCAGATCACCAAGAGGAAGAGGATGGTGTTGATCAAGGAGAGGAAGGCAGCTCAGACCCTCAGTGCCATCTTACTGGCCTTCATCCTGACATGGACGCCTTATAACATCATGGTGCTGATTTCCACTTTCTGCTCAGACTGCATCCCCTTGTCCCTCTGGCATCTAGGCTACTGGCTGTGCTACGTCAACAGCACCGTCAATCCCATGTGCTACGCCCTTTGTAACAAAACATTTCAAAAGACCTTTCGCATGCTGCTGCTCTGCCAGTGGAAAAAGAAAAGGATTGAAGAGAAACTATACTGGTATGGGCAAAATCCTGTGGTCAGCTCCAAACTGACATGAGCTTGTTTTATTGTGACGGTGTCTGTAAATTTGCAATCTTGGCTTTATGAGCTTTGATTCTGTGTGTTTGTCAGCATGCAGCGCAAAGTGTTGCATTTAAATCAAAGGGTCTGCCCTAGTGTGTTATATTGCTGCTAAAAAGTGCAAGAAAACGGCACAATTGTTCCAGTGTATGTGACAATGTACAGCATATGGGTTGAAATAATTCCAATATTCCAGTATTTACTTGCAGATTAATAAAAATTGATCCTGTGGATATTATTTCAGATTGTTACACATTGTACCATAACAGTATTCAAATTCGACACATTATGTACTCTAGTCTATTGATTTGCACTGGGTAGGTTTTGAAATGACCGGCTTCCCCTTAACGTGATGCTCTCAAACCCAAAATATAACACATAGATCTGTTTGAATCACCAGTGTTGTGTTTGTATTGGCAAATTTTATTTCAAAGGGCTAATATTGTACATGTTGTCCTGAGGTCAGAATGCTTAGCATACGTGTCACTGTCATTTGTCAGATGATGGAGTCTAGATTCTGCTTGGTTGTTATCACATGCATTTTCTGTCCTATTGTCTATATATATATAGATATATATATATACATATATATCAGTTATAATTGGGCAACAGCACAAATACAAAAGCTTTGTCATTTGGACTAACTTGCTATCAAGGTCAGTGTTTACAATTCGAAGAGTGGTAGACTTAACAGTGCATGTTTTTTTGTAAAAATGTTTCAATCATTTTGCATCTTCGGGATATTACCAATTCTTAAGGATCAAAATAAAGGTTTTTTTTTCCTATCAACAAAATATGTTCTGAATTTCTAGCAAACGCAGAACATGGTCTGGGAAAATAAATACAATTTTCTGTAAGCAACGGATTGAACAGGCCATGCAGAATATTCTGTTATTAGAAGTCATAAATCATGACACATGAAACACTACTTTTCTGGGTAAGGTGGAGAAGGAAACTGATGCTTTGCTTTGAGTATGTTGAATGAATATGTGTGACAGAGACAAAAAAAGAAAGCTAAAATCAACTACTTACAGTATCGTGTCTCAAATTTGTGATACATTTTTGGTTCTTCCCAGTTGTTTGTGATAATGTTTATGCATTTCTAAATAAATGTGTGTTGAATTCACTAATTTCAGACACTTAGTTCCTTCAAATTTGACTCATAACTCGTCCTTCTTACACGTTCCGCTGTGAATCACTTTAACTGTGTCAGAGGGTCTAACCATCATCCATGCATATTTGCACAGACGCTCCTTGTTGCAGTCCTTTTGCCAGTAAATGACATTCCTCCGATTTAAATTGGCACCAGCGCAGGCGTCATACCACCATCCTCCTCCTGGCACTCCGTGAAATTCCAATTTTGCACAGTTTTGGAAGTAGTTGTCATTGTCTCTGTCTTTGGTGGTAAACTTCTGGTTATCATGCAGGTAGTTCTCTGTGTCCAGGGTCAAAGCATCCACAGCTGTGCCTTGGAACAACCCCAGCCGAAGCCTGTATGATGTTGATTCATCTTCCACCATGAATGGATCATACTCCCCCACTTTGGTGATTGCATCTCGGTCTACAAGTTTAACACCCAGTTTGTAGCGAACAGGGCCTCGGGTAAGCTGGTGAATGTATTCATTCCCAAGCCAGTGATCCCCTGAGACTTCCCCAAAGCCATTCTTATACTCAGCCCAGGTGCGATCGAAATCCACGCTGCTGTTGACAGTGATGTGCTGGACCACGGTCCAGCCTCCATCCTGCATAGCACAGTAGGCCACAATGGGAGAGTCACCAGGCTGAATCAGGTACACTCCATCTCGGGCCTGGCCAGACGACACCATCAGCATTTCAGAACAGTCTCTAGGCAGCACTGCTTGGCAAATAAACAGAGACGTCACAAGCTGGGCAGTAAATCATCATTGTAATATACAATATATTATCCATCTGATCCTTAGTTAGAAGTATAATTTCGACATGACAAACAAGGTAAATTGACATTTGGGGGCAATACTTAAAGGAATTACAGATAAAAAGATAATAAACTTTATTTCCCAAAGTCATATGTGTAAAGAATCAGAGATCTGATTAATTTTACCACCAGCTGCACACAAAAGATGGCTAAAAATGTTCAGCTAAACCACACTGCAAACCTATTATGTCATTAGAATATACATTAAAAGTCCTGGTGGTAACTGGTCTATGTGCATTGTGGAGTTGTCAGACTGAAAATATGCGGCATGCTGTGAATTAAAAAAATGTTGGCCACCTGAATGCTTAGAACAAGGAAATGTTTCACTTTCAACATGAAAATAAACTAGAATTCTCAGTGCTAAAAACAAGAACTTACAGGGATGTTAAAGGAAGACAATTGGAAACAAACCATGATTCAAATTATTTGACAAGCGTTACTGCCCTCATGCCTTTAGAAAAGAACAGAAGCCAAACATCTTCTGCTATTAATTTAACATGGAATTAACTCTTAAACAAAACAAGTAGTTCCAGTTTTCCTTAACCACTCCATTAATACTACATTGTTAACAATTGTATATGTTATCTCTTTGGTCGCCAGTGTGGTAAACAAACATGTACATATTAGGTTTTCCATTTTATTGAAGGCAAAAAAAGAACTGTTGCTAAAAGTCTCCCAGGTAAACAAATTTGGAGTTTGACCAGTCTCCATAGAGTAATCGCTGATCAAATTAAGATCAAGTCAATTCAGCATGATAAAGCATTTTCGGATAAACCCAATGTATACCAGCCACATTTTATATTATGATTGTCTTACTCTATATCTTCCATATAGGGCTCCAAACTTTCAAACTGAAAGTGAAAGTTCACAAATAAATACCTGTCATTCCATGGTTCAGGACTTTGTTATGCTCCTCTGAGGGTAGAAGATTGAGGTTCTCAGCTTGGAGATGATCCGTCTTCACCTCCCTCACACAAAGCAGCAAAGCCACAGCTGGTAGCCAACATCTGCAACACTCCATCCTTCACTTCTATCAAGCCAACAGCCATATGTTAATTATAGAGAAACACAAATGCAAACCTATGATTAGATTTAATTAACTTGTTTAAAAACACTATAGTTAGTGAATAACCAAAGTGCTTGCATGTAGGTCTTTTACCTGTGTGAAGAACAACTGCAGAAATGTGTTAATCCCGAATGTTCTCCAGCACTACGTTCATCTACGCTGACTGAATGAAAATCCCCAGAACACAAACAAGACTACAGAGTTCAGTTTGAAAGTTTACTGAAATGAAGCCTCTCCTGGCCAGTTACAGCTGGACTTTAGCCTCAGGTTCACCTTACAACAACAGACACCAAGCCTCCACTTATCAGTACCAGGCGAGATAAAATCACGTGTAAGCCCATTTATCAGCCTTTCTTCAATCACTTAAACAGCATAAGGCTGAAGTCCACTTGTCAAAAATCTGCATGCACACAGCTCATGATTCTTCTCAATGATTTTCGCTCACTGTAAAAATTATTTTTGTTCCATCCCTACATTCAAATCTTTTATATTTCTAGAAAATTCTATGGTTTTTGACACGTCTGGCTCAAGGTACAAATTGTACCACATGGCTTGCACAAGGTTAACTGACCTAAAACAAGGAGCCAATGATCAGCTGCCCTGTTCATCTTCAAAAGATTCTGTCGTCATGTGAGTCCTCACCTACAAATGGTCCATTCAACTGTAAGATCAGTCAGACTGGTTCTTCTGTTTAGTTGTCTCGCAAATGGACCCCCGTGGGGCTTATCTAAACACAGAACACCCACTTTCTCGGGTTAAATCTCAGCAGTCCACCTGCACCAGGAGGATAAGGACAGAATAGACCAACAGAAGGTTTCAGAGGAGAATGAAAGTAGCCATGTGGCTTAAACTGGATAAGTTATCTCTGAGGAGCAGTGGCTACCTTCAAACACTGGTGATATGGCCATGTCTTCCCTTCTCAGGTGGTTTTGTCAGAATTTTTGCCTTCAGTCACTTAACAAGATTGCACAATATGACCATCTGGTAAAAGAAACAATGACACCATGACCCTGAGGACAGTTGATCAGCTTGAAGCTTTGCAGAGGTTGAACCTCAGACCTGGAAGACTTTCAAGGCAGAATGATTCTTAAAAGAATAAATAGCTTCAATCTCACTTCTGAAAGTTACGGCAAAAACAAGCTGCGATCCATACTCTGTTGCTCCATGCTGCATGTGGCCAGGAAAAATAAAATAAAAATACAAATATATATTTTAACACTTCTGAAATCCCTGAAGCATAGATGTAATGTCTCTGTTGTTCCCTTTAGGAAAAAACTGAAGCATCATATGTCTCTGAAAATCTTCAAGAATGTTCTAGTGGGAACAGATGTATGAAAGCAAATGTTGCCAGTATTTGCTCCTTTTTTTCTTGATTTACCAGACGATGAGTGAACGTGCTGCAGTGTGAATACAGCACCAAACTCTTAAGTTGACCAGTGTGTGGATAGCTTTGCACTTGTTTAGAGGGGGACATTTTGTCCTCGCAAATATTGTCAAGAATACCAACAACTCATTTAAAAGATCAAAACATAAGATGTTTCTTTTTATTATTAATTGGACACTTGGAAAAAAACGATACATTCAACACACCATTTAACAAAAATATTTCTGTTCAGTCAATATTTCAGCAGCATTAGTCTATGATCATTACAACACTCTGCTATGTCACTGAGGAGGCAATCAAATCAGATTCCAGGCATTATTAAGCTGCTATTGCACCTTCGCTTTATCTTAACTGCTGACATTTTCCGAGAATCCACTGATATAGTACATAAAGCTCACAGTACGATCTCATGATGCTTAGAGTATAATATAACGGCTTTCATTGGTAAGAATAGCAGCTTCATCCATGGATTTTACTGATGAGTCCCAATTTTATGTCAGGATGTTGGCAGAGAAAGATATTGTGTGGATAACACAAAATCATTGTTTAAGTTGTAACAGGAAGGAATCAGCAACCTGGGGATTACAAAAATGTATGTGAGACACGAGATTTTTTCTTTTTGTCAAGATTTTCTTAAAAGAAAAATACTGACCTTTGCAAAATCTCCTCCCGCTCCTTGAACAGATTTTAGGAGAGGTTCCTGGTGCCACAACTCCCATAACTGTTGATTGAAAACTTGGAAATTTCTGCAAGGTTTTGTTGAGATATTTTGGTCGTCACATTTTAAGATGTATTGAAATCCATGTCAAACTGATTACGAGGTGCAAAATAGAACAATCGTATCATAATCAAGAAAATGAATGAGCAAAACAAAAAGATATGATAATCTTTTTATATTATAATTGTTCTGTTCTTGTTTTTCTAAATATTTCAAATGATTGGGTTTTTATTCTCACTTATGTGTCCTTTAGATTGTCAAAAGGGTTTGTAAAATGTTGCATTTTGCACCTCGGTTCCTAAAAAATAAAGAAATATTCAACAGACACGTACTCATCCAACTGAGGCTGAATTGATCCACTACAGCCACTTGTTTGTAACTCCTTCCACCACTTTTTTAAAACTGAGTGTATCCATTTTAAACCAACAATAAGGTACCTATAAGAATGAAAAACATTATAAGGAATTATTTTAATTGGAATTGGCACACAGTTTTTGCCCTCGTGTGGATAGAATGCGTTTCATTCTATAAAAGTGCAGAAATACTCACTCTTCATATGTACTGCTGAGGACTTTCCTAACTAAAGGGAAGAGGTCAACACAACAGCCAATGGTTATACTGGATGGGTCCTCATCAATGCTGCAAAAACAAACAAACAAAACAAACATTTACCACATTTGTTCTCAGTTTTTCAATGTTTCTTGCTGAACTAAAAGCTTACCTTTTGCATATCAGTGGTAGAAAGTCAACAATCACACCAGTATCTTGTATTCTATAGAAAAGGATAGAGAAGTACATAACCAAATTGCATAACACGTGTGCACAAAAGATGCACAGGACATACCTCAGCAGGTATGTCAACAGCTCTCCAACATTTCTCTGCCATAGAGTCAAAGCCACCTTGAGTCGTAGATTTCTTCCAAACAGCACATCTGTCATTGTGCCATGGTCCTTTGTGATCTGAAAAAACATTCTGTTTAGTGTCATTTGGAAAACTGTTGCTCATAAAATACGAGTGGAACTTTAAAAGGTGTGCTCTGTGACAGTCACCTCAGAAAGTGTACAGTAGTCACCCTGCTCCAAACCTGTCTGACCGGTCTTGAGATTTATTGGGACCTCTAATGGGTCCACATGGAGTTTTTTCTGCTGTGTGTCTTGCGAGCATTCAATGTCATTTTCTTTGTTTGCTGCTTCAGAAGGCCTCCCAGAACTGAGCTGCTTCCTCCGAACCACGGTTTGATGATGGGTCTTCCTCTTACATGACACCACCCGCCTCACTCTGCCTGGGTTGTTGCCAGAGCGACAAACGGGATACCTGTATAGGGTCAAATATTCCGTCAGCTGGACAAAACAATAATACAGCTGTGGCAATGACACTCAAAACAGGCACAGATTACCTCTTTTTGTTGAATTCTTCATGTTTATCATATTTAACCTGCATTGAAAAACAAGGTACTGTGAGTGATTCCTTGACATCTAAACAGTTTCAGCACCGACAAAAAGATTTGTCACAATGAGCCAAGATGCTTACCTCCGTTGTGTTTCTCCCTTGGACATAGTTCACTCTGTACTGCGCTGCATTATAATAGAAGGCACGATCAGCACTGTCTCCATCTTCACTACTAGTGTCCATGGTATCTAAAGGAAGGAGAACATTTAAAAATAAATATATTTATCCAGATTGCAGTATGTCCAACAAACCTGATTTAACAACAAAACAACAACAAAACCCCTTCAACTTTAAACCTTAAAGATGAAAGTAAAATGGGGTCTTTTTTGCATTCACTTACCACCGTTAATATGATAGGATAATCACAAATTTGTGACACGCCTTTAATCTGATCATTGTAAACAGCATCAAGATATTTTGTATACCTTCCCAGACTACCAATAACAAAGAGAGGCTGTATACACTAACATGTTTTAGTTTAGTTTAGTTTTGAAATGTAGCTTTTCGTTTAATATTTTAACATCTATTATATTCCGAAATATAAATAAATAAAGGGATTATCTGTACAACCAACTCGCCAGCATTTGCATCTACCTTAAAAACACAATTTCCCACAATCCTTTGGAATATTGCTGTTCCTGTATTTGGAATGACGTCGTTGACAAGCTGCGGGCTAAGCAGGAGATAGTTGCTCTTGTTGCTTTCGAAGTTTGATATTTAGCTAACTTATTACCAGCTGGAGACGTTTGCACATTTGGGAAACACAATTCACCATGTAAAAACCATCTGAAACTGTAAGTGTTGTCTTGAGAAACATTAAAGAGCATTATTTATCATAAGCAACGTTGTAACGCTTTAGCAAGTAATTACGATGTCAGGAACATTTTAAAGACGGTCAATTATTTCTAATGAAACATAAACAAACGAGTGTTCGTTATAGTCGATGTATGAAAAGCCGGTCTCCTTCAAAATACAGGTCCAGTCGAGGAACAGAAAATCATTGTAAGACAGTAGTTAAAGTGTTAAGAGTAGAAGGCTTAACGCCATCGCTGGTGTACTCACCTTCCCTAAACGCTGGGATTAAAAAGCATTTATTTTCATTCTCGTCAGTGCAGCTTGTTAACGTGAGATACCGCCCAGAAAGAGAATATAAATCGGCCCATTCATTACAGATGGCTCACTGTGCACCATCTAGCGACTATTGACCTCATAACGGCTTACATTCAAAAACAAACAGCGTTTGCAATGGACATCTGTCAGCTGGTTCGAGTCCCAGCTGGGGGTTTTCTTCTGTGAGTGGTATCTGAATGTCTTAAAAAACATGGTAGGTTCATGGTAGGAATCATTCGAACTTAGTGATGGCTCTGTGACACACCAATGACCTGTTCTGGGTCTGTATGACATGACCACTAGGGACCAGACCCTCCTTAGGGTGTATTAAATAGATGACTGGCAGTTTTTCCCATGTCTCTAAACAGTTTTATTGTTGTGATCAGTTAGCTGCACAGCCTCTATGTGATGGCTATAACAAGAAAAAAATGTATCTCAGCCACCCTGACAGTGTCTTGCCGCTCCGCTTCACTGAGTCGAGGCAAGTCCTGTCTTGTATGTTTAGCCTCTTTGTACTTGAGCCTGTCTTTGCCGCACTACTTCCCTGACTGCACAATGAAAAACAAGATCAGCTGATTTTATTGACCCATCATCTCTTTCTGCCCTTCCTGCTGACTGGGCTGTTTTGGTTCTGCAGTTTAAACATTGGAGCTGACCGCAGGTTTACTGATGTGGACTCGCTCACCGGAGACTGAAACTCGGTCTGTAAGTGTGTATATGTTCCTGCTAGTCAGCGCTGTGTAAGCTGCCGACAGGGTAAGTTAAGTTACAGCGCTTTGCTCTGAAATATTATCCACATTTTGTGTCTCAGATCTCAGATTTTCAGGTCTTTTTTTTTGTTTTAGAAATTTAGAGTATCACGGTACAATAAAGTATTACTTTCTGTGTGTGTAACATCTCTTTGGCATTTCTTCCTGCAGTTGGACGGTAAAATGGTGCCTTTTCATACGGCCTGTGCATTGTTAGGCCTTGCACCTCTGTTGGTGCTCGGTGTCCCTCCAATTTGGACTCAACCAGAGCAAGTTCACCTCTCCTACACAGGTCTGTCTTCTGTGTTGTCATTTAGCAAAAAAAAAAGACTTTGCCCAGACTTTGTTGGGTCCAGATCATTAAGTTATAAGGCTTAGAGCAAAGAACCTTTATGTTTGGAGTTTGTTTGATGTTCACTGAAGTCTAAATTCACTGTAATCTATTTGTCTTCTTTAAAATAGCTATCATAAGACAGGATAGTTAGATTGTTTTTCCCTGCCATAACACTATCCAACAACTAATCCAGAGCCCTGGTACAAATCGGTACCTGATGTGCAGAAAATTAAAATAAGGAAGTGATTTGGGGAGGTCACGTTTTGATTAAATAATTACCTGGGTAGTTGTCAGCTTTAGGGTGTTTGTGTTTGTACGAACATATGTAAAAATGAATCCAGTTTTTCTCTCAGATTTTTGTTTATCCTATTAATGGTTTTTTTCAGGAATACCAGGCTCAATGGTGGTGACCTGGACCACCTTCAATAAGACGGAGACTGAGGTGGAGTACGGCCTTCTTGGGGGTCGGCTCTTTGAAATGAGCGCCAAAGGCAATGCCACTTTGTTTGTGGACTCAGGGGAGGAGAAGAGGAGGATGTTCATCCACAGAGTGACCCTCACAGACCTTAAACCTGCTTCTACATACGGTGGGTGATGGTGGGACATTTTTGCAGGTCAGGCAGTCTCACTTTTTACATCCGTAATGTTGAATTTCCTGTCTTTTTCAGTCTACCACTGTGGCAGTGATGAAGGCTGGAGTGATGTGTTTTCTTTCACTGCTCTGAACGACAGCCTCAGTTTCAGCCCCAGGTTTGCTCTTTACGGTGATCTGGGCAATGAAAACCCTCAGTCTCTGGCCCGACTGCAAAAGGAGACTCAGCTTGGCATGTATGATGTCATCCTTCACATAGGTAACCACACAATGGATAATAATTGAATTATTTTGCATTCAAAAAGAATCAAAAAGGCATTCATATTTTGATAGGGGGAATATTTACATTGAAAAATGCCTCTAAATATCAGTCTAAACAGAAAACAGGTGTGTGTTGTTGTACAATATGTGATGTTCGCAATCGGTTTGCCCAGAGAACAAGAAAGTTTTTCAAATGTAGCTCCAAATGATACACTTTGTCTGCTGAAGTTAAACAAAAGGCAGAAATCACTATGAAACAGGCGACACAGTCAACATGGCATCTGAGGAGAAAACAAAAAAACAGTGATATAGTATATTCTTTACATCCTGCCTCCTCGTGACCATTTATTTGTTAAAGCAGGTATTGAAGATAAATGGATAACATAGAATACGCTGATTATAGTCATAATATAGTCTGTGGTACTAAATACATTTGCACTAACTTAAATCTAATGCCAGTATTTGATGTTGTAGGCTTCTATTTAACTTAATACAAATAATTGAATTATAGAACTGAATTTAGTGCATCAACACCTCAATATAGCTTTACCGTGTATTCAAATCCACTGCAAATCACCTCACAAATGGTCATATTGCTATTTTCTTGATAGTACCCAGTCTGGTGCGTAAGTAATTCCATCTTGATTATATTCGATAATTAAGTTATAGTTTGGTTTCATTGTCACATAATCTAACATTATCTAATTCAGTACACAGTAAGCAATACAAAGATCGGTCTCCTGTGTGACATCCTATATGGCACAAATTGAAGATTAATTAGCATTCTTCATGTTTTAAAGCCACAGAGATTTGAAGTAGAAACTTTTCATACAGAGTTCATGTCAGAATAAGTAATATACATGTTGGCGACAGACTTGAGTGATAGAGCAGTGCAATTAGCTGCACTTTAGATATTAAATTACCCAGTTAGCTTAGCTAAAAAAAAAATCCTTAAAATTGTGGAAAACCGCTCACCTCGCCAAGAATTAAAAAGAACATCTCTGAAGTACTGTACACTAACTGGTTGTTTTTCTTATGGATTCATTCTCCCTGAAAAAATAAACTCAGTTGAGTTTCTGTAAGGCGAGTGAACAGATTTCAGTTTCCTAATTTCCAACCTTTCCAAGTAGAAATGTTATGTTTAGCTATAATGCTCAATTTTATTAAACATTACAAAACAGTGTGAGACTGCTAAAATTCAAGTCATTACCAGCACAATTCATCAGAAATATGCTCACTTTTCTTTTAACTTTAAAATACATTCTAATCTGTGGATGTCTTTGTTTTACAGGGGACTTTGCCTACGACATGCATGAGGTACTTTACCCCTCAGTCTTTCCTATATTTTGAAAAACGGTCATGTTCTTTGTTGTAATTAAGATTGTTGATGGAAAATGTTAACACTTCATACTGTTCACACCACTCTCTGCTCCTGTAATGTCACAGCGATGGATGATATAAGCCTCCTCAGCCTCCTCCATCCCAAAGCATGGCACTGTTTATACTGCGGTCGAGACGTTCAGCTGATGATTAGCATTACTGTGAAATGCCTTAAGCCTTTCATGAAAGACGAGAAGTGGGGTCAAGTCACCAAGTATTTCATGAAAAATGCCATTCAAAACCACATATCCTCAGTCGCAATAACATATTTGCTTATATGAAATCTCCCTGGCCGTCGAATTTGATATTAAACGGACATAACCTTGTCTTGAATGCTAATATAGTTTTCCCTTTAAATGAGAGCTTGCATTACTAATGTGTTTTTTTTTTGTTGAAGAGAAGGAGAAATTGAATATGCAGGCCTCCTCAAAAATTAATAACCATAATTCACTCAAGTTATGTCTTCAGCTGGAAAGCACATCCTGCGGCTTCATTTATGTGATAAAGAGAAAAGCAGAGCAGGGGAATTTGGTCCGGTAGTTGCAGGTAAAAGCCATCAGAGCAGGAATGAAACGTGCGCTGCTTTAGACTTGGTTTGTTTGGTGAAGCGATTATGCTTTCAGAAAGCCTATTGAAATATGGACGCGATCTATTCTCGGAATACTTTGGCCAAAGTCAGTGAGGGAAAATGAAACATTGATGTGTTAACAGGGTCTGTGGCATCATGCTTGACAGCTGAATGACACTGTTGCAGGACAATGCCAGGATCGGAGATGAGTTCATGAGGCAGATCCAGTCCGTAGCCGCCTATGTGCCCTACATGACCTGTCCAGGCAACCACGAAGCTGCATAGTACGTACAAAGTATCCCTCCTGTCACTGTATTTAACGTTTGAACATTTGCGTTGCGTCTTCTGGTCAGATAGGCACAAGTGTTACAGGGTTTTGGGCAGAGGCAGCAGTGCATGCAGTTTCACCTCCACAGAGGACACATTTTGTAATACCAGAGTCTTTTCACAGTGCTGTTTTTGGAACAGATGGGACATATTACACATTAGTCTCCTAACGCTGAGGCTGCATCAGCAAAAACCAACATCTAAACAGTCAACGCTTTCCAAAACAAACTCTTATCTCACTGGGAACCATCATCAGTACAGTTAGTGTTCCTTAAGTCTCAGACTTGGCCTGTAATGGTGAGATCCCTGTGTGCATTTTGACTCATCATTGCTGAATCTGTTAGTCACATTTCAGCCTGAGAAAGTTTCTGTGGGAGGACAAAAAATAGACTTATTTCAAGTCTGTCAGTCTTTATTTAGAACTTGGAACTTTTCATGTTTTAGCGTCCCAAATCTTCAGAATTGCTGCGTCGCTTTGCCATGTCCGTCATATGTTTGTTATGTTAGATGACAGCCTTTTCAATGTTCAGAAATTAAATAAAAATAAGATAGGAATGGTTAGAAAAATAATCTGAAGTTTATCTAATGGTGAAGCTAACCAGTGCTAGGTTGTTCATATTTCTATGTGCTTCTCCACACTAGCCTATATTTTAAGTTGAAGGAAATAAGTATGTTTTTTTTCTCTCAATTTTCTCTAAAAGTTTTTTTTTCTCATTCAGACATAGTTAATTTATTTTACCATCTGATTTTTTAAAACTAATTCTGCTGATTTTATATTAATTATACACAACTATGTCATGTGATTTTCATTAGAAGGATGTCTGTAGTTTTAATTGCATATTGAAGAATTTAAAGGAGATCCTACACCATAGTATTCACTTACCTCTGCTATTGTGGGATATTTTTCAGTCGGCCTTTCAATTCATGATATGTCTGTTGTCTGGTCCTTATTTAATAGCTGCTAACAGTAGTCTCTTTTTCTTGGACCGAAATCCCGACAGAGGAACTCGATATGAAGAACCAGCTCACAGTATTACATAATCAAAAAGTCCAGCTCCTTCCCCACTTTGATGGCCACATGTGTGTTTTGTTCTGTGGTGTTGTTCAGAATCCAAATATTCTCCGCAGCTGGTGACTGCTTTTCCTCACTTTTGTTTGTGCTCTTTTGCTCCACCTCTGTTTGTCTTTGTTTCCAACCTCAAAAACTAATGGGTGAAAAGCAATTGAACCAAGCATGGCCACAAAAAATTTCAGTCAGCATTCCAACAGGATGAGAACAGTGGATCCACAGAAGATGCTAAATCCCCAATCAGGACTGTCTTTGTTCCACGCTCACAGCGGTCGTTCATCGGGCCTACAGTGGAAAGGGGAAATAGTCGTCACTGTTTGAAACAATGTTTAGTGTTGGAAGTCAATGATTACTGAGGTCGGCAACTGTTTCCTTCAGTTTGTCTTACTCCCTGGATTTAGCTCATCAGATGATGAAAGGGAAGGTTTGACGAGTAGGGAAAAGCTTGTCGGGTCAGTTTAAAAGTCAGGTTGTTCCCATTTAATTTGACATCTGTCAAATTCCTATTTCCTTATTTAAGGAAAAAAAAGCAAACACATGGATCCCAGCATACTTTGGTTTAGAGAGAATGACTCATGTTATACTGGATTCCCTTTGTGTTAACAACACAAATGGTTAACAACACAAATCTAAGCTAATCACATTCATCCTCCTTCAGACTTTCCCCTGCTGAACGCTTTAAACTTTGCGGTTAACTGCAGCTTAATGTTCTCCACTGGGGATACTCTTTTTTTTCATCATGTGTAGACTCCTTGTGAACATTTGTGTAATTGTGTATTTTTACTAACTAAACAGTGCCTACCCAGAGGCCCATAGGTGTTTGCTAGTACCCTTTCCCGCCATTGGGTGGTAGTCTGAACACATCTTAGAACTTCTCCTGGTTCTGAGCCATTCCTCAGACATGGTTGTAAAACTCTGATCATAACGTTTTTAACGCTCAGGAGGATATTTCATCCCTCTGGTTCCTATTTAGCTTAAATGAGTAAAACATGCCTTATCTTTACCAAAACATCCAATATTTACCTTTTTTTTATTCATTAGAGTTAACATTTACCTCGGTAGATGTTTTGTGGGGTGAATATTTATTTGTATATCACCATCTAAAGTGATGGTGTGATAAACATTACTCTCCCCACTTCATGAAATGATGGATTGTCATGCCTATTATTTAAAGGTAACCTTGATGCCTGCAGAAATTACAGGCCTCATTAGTGTTCGGCCCATCCTGCATTAGTTAAGGTCTTTTCTTTATGCGTCCCCATTCCTGGCTTTTGACCTGCGACCTCTCTGTTCTCCGGTTACCTCTAACCCCACATTCACCCAGCCGGCTCAGGGGTCTGATCAGTTCCAACGGCTGCTGTCGAGGATATTGCATTTTTTTCCCTCTCACTTATGTAAGATAAGAAAACAATTATCCACATCACCTCGCCTGTTTAATGGTCTTTTGGAAGGACCAACTCCCTCTTTCATTCTGAAAGTAAAATCTGTGAAATGAGACCAGTGGCTTTAGGTCCAGATATATTTTCCACAAAGGAGTTATTCCCCTTTGTACCCGTCGTAACATTTGAGCAGCACTTGCTGCTGCAGTTGAAGCGGCTCATTAGTTTTCAGTTTTAACTGTGGGCAGTCCATGTGGTCAGATGTAGTGAAGTTAACAGAGGTGGACGGGCCACTGTGGACAGTGTCCTGCCATACTTCGACTGCTTAGAACCACTGTGATTCACAGTCTTCTTAAAATATCTCATTCATATCTTTACAAAAAATTATGGGCTCCATAGAGTTTAATAAAAAGTTGATTTGCTCGATTGAAATTTGTAGGATATTCAGCCATGGAAGCTCCCTCTTGCTCTCATCTTCACCCCGGCTTCCCCACATTAACCAAATTTTGATTTATTGGCTCCAGTAATTGCCTGTCATCGAGACCACATCCATGCTTCTGTGCAGGCTTTTATTTAATACTGTAGTTTGTATAGAGCATGGTACATGATTTTAGGCCTGTGACGGATGCCACTACAGCCAGTTTATAGTTCTATTTGTTTCAATATCCACCACCTTGAGTCTACTAGCAAGCCGAACTAGCAATACAAAACAAAAGGATTGAACAAAATTTAGCTTACTTTGGGCACCACTGGCTGCTCTTATCTTACAGACAGCTCAAAATTATTTCAAATTCTCGGGTTTTTTAAATAAACATCTGCCACATGCACCACAGGCAAAAACAAAGCATCACTTTGTAGTGAAAATGACTGTTTATTATAAGTTGGAGGATTGTATGATTAGTTTATCTAATTGCATTTTTCACAATCTTGTTTGTTCACAGCAACTTCTCTAACTACAGGAATCGCTTCAGCATGCCAGGCCAGACTGAGAGCCTGTGGTACAGGTACGGACAGAGCTTCTATTTGGTTCGCTTCTGTGTGAATAAGTAGATTAAATATTATGATGCCGTGGCATTGGAAGCAGATGTTACGATCTGGACATAGCAGTAGCAAACAGAAATTACTTCTTAAAGGAGCAAAGGGATTTGGTAGTTCCCGCTGTATTTCAGTAAGCATTTATGAGCTGTAAGAGTCGTTCTTTTTCTTTTAGCTTGTCTCTCCTATCTTAGGAACATTCAGACTACACAAAGGAGCTATACATCTGAATTGGTGACTCAGTGCTCACTACAGACCTCCTTCTCTCAGATAGTAAGATAATACCCTGCTTAACCGCAGGTCTGCTCTCCATGGGCCTGCTGGCAGAGAGCCCTCCATCTGTTAGCATCAGGGGAAAGCACACAGTCGCCGACATGTACTTTTCCAATAACCACATACAGTTAGCATGTAAGCTATTTTCGCACAGTAACAACTTTTGAATGAAAGGGAGAGTTTTTTGCATTTAGCAGCAGCATGTCAGTGGCAAATAATGGCCTGGATTTAGGAGTATTTTCACACTATGTGAAGTTTAAACTGAAGCCTGTTCCTGCTTATCTGGGGGGGCTTTCAGCATGCTTCCTCTACTGGGTCAAGGCTGTGCATCATTTTTATGATATGTGTCTGCAGTTGGAACGTGGGGTCAGCGCACATCATCTCCATCTCCACAGAGGTTTACTTCTATCTCGAGTTTGGCCTGGATCTTGTCTTTAAGCAGTATGAGTGGCTAAGGAAAGACCTGGAGGTTAATGGCTTCCCTTTCTCTGTTTTAGCCCGCTGTTACGTCTCACAGTGAAATAAGTTTATTTTCTCCCATCAATAATACTCATTCTCATTTTTACACATGCTGATTTCTCTTTTTGTTACAAACAAAAATCTGTCTTTTTTTCTTTATATTAATCTGGTATATGTGTTGGTTCTGACGTAGGAGGCCAACAAGCCAGAGAACCGGGCAGTTCATCCATGGATCATCACCATGGGCCACAGACCCATGTACTGCTCTGACGATGACCAGGACGACTGCACTAACTTTGACTCCTTTGTATGGAATTCCCATCTTTTAATGACTATATTCACATATTCACACACTTTTCCTGTTGAATATTCAAGTGAAAATGATTTGAGCAGGTCTGAAACGCTTATGCAACTCATAGATGTGATTTTGTTGGTGCAAAGTGAGTAATTTCCTTCAAGGTTTTAATGATACAGCTAATTTTACTTAATAGGGCTAAGCTAGATAAATGATATAATTAGATTAAAACATCTGGGAATTGTCAGAGCAACTACTATTTATTATGCTGTGTTCCCAGTTATGTAAGCAGCAACTCAGTTTTATTTTATCTCATCAGGGAAATTGCGGGATTTATTTTAAGTGTGTTGCTTAATACTTAAATTGCCTCTTGTAGCAGACATGTTATTCGTGCTGCAAAGCAGCCAGGCCACATCACAACCAATAGGCACATTGGGTATTGTATGCTGTCATAATCTCTATAATTTGGACCAAATAGTTTCCACTTTGACGCGCTGCTCTCAGCAACTCACTCTGATTGCAGTGAGGCTGGCATGGGCAAGATGGTGTGCTACCACCAAGTGTCTAGTTTTTCACAAACAATGAACGGATAGTGTTGCATTTTTATGCTGTCACTGTTTTTTTTATAAACCAGGTCCGACTGGGGAGAAGTGACATCAAACCACCAGCTCCTGGTCTAGAGGATCTGTTCTACCACTATGGTATGTTTCTAATTTGACAACCAGCTCCGTGTTGCTGACTGAAGTTTAAGATCCCCAGTTTTCAAACTCAGGCAATTGTTATAACATTTAATCTACGTTTATAGAATAGAAAATAAAGCTTTGCTAAAAATTCAGGTCTACAGTTTGTGGGACATCCCTGCATCCATTTAAGGTTTTTATATCGTGTTTCACTTTTGTTTGTTGCTTTTACTTGCCGGATTGTGATGGAAGATTTTTGTCGCTCTGATCTTAAGTGTTTGCGCTTTACTGAAAACGCTCAAAATTAAATGGGCACAGGATCTGTTTTTCTGTTTTGTTTTTTTAAACTAAGCTGTTTGTGTCGATAGTCTGTTTTGCAAAAATGTTTCTTGTTCCCATGAAATGTTTTTTTGACAGGAGTGGATGTGGAGTTGTGGGCACATGAGCACACATATGAGAGGCTTTGGCCTGTCTATGGTGACAAGGTCAGCGTCTGCAATTCCACTTCTCAACTTTTCACAATCTGTGTGGTCTCGAGGTGTGTATTGCAACGTATACTCACAATGTTTGTCCTTTCAAAGGTGCACAACGGCAGCACGGAGCAGCCATATATTAACCCGAAGGCTCCAGTTCACATTATCACAGGCTCTGCTGTAAGTACTCACATCCCGTGAATTACTGATGATTTTTCCGCATAGATCAATGCCTGCAGGAACATCAACAATAACACTGTCATGTATTGTACACAGTTCAGTCTGTACAGCTGCTGATCTGCCACATAAGTTTAGTACCAGCTGTTACTGCGGTTTAGCGTTTTCTGATGTGGTGGCAAGCAGTTCAGGGCACACTTTGTCATCCAGCCACAGCAGGATTAGTCATCAGCGAATCAGAATGCAGCCAGGCTCACATTGAAGCACAGCCGTGGCCAACGCGTCAAAGAGGAGCATGTGGCTCTCCTCATGCGGAGTCACTTAAACGATTGTTGATTCTTCCGCAGGGATGCAGAGAGAGGACTGACAAGTTCAATCCAAACCCCAAAGAGTGGAGTGCTTTCCGCAGCACAGACTACGGCTACAGCCGCATGCAAGTGCTGAACGCCACCCACCTTTACTTGGAGCAGGTCTCAGATGACCAGGTAAGAGCACGTGGAAGAACATGTGCGCACAGTACCAGACCACATTTTCAGGAGGTTTTCTCAAATAACCACAAAGACTTCTCTGTGTGTTCCAGTATGGCAAAGTGATTGACAGCATATGGGTGGTGAAAGAAAAACACGGCTTATCTGCCTGGCCATGAAGACTGTCATCCTTAAAAAGGAAATCTACTCTCACATGCACTTTAGATTAACTTGTTTTTCTACAATGCAGTAAAAATACAGTTGTTCATTTTTTAATCAAGAATTGGTCTTTTTTTGCGATCAATGTCACGATCATCAACTGTAAATGTGTATATATAGAAACTGCTTTACTTAACTGTGGTAACATGGATTAAAATCACGGCTTTTAAATCAGTTTTTGGATTGGCTTACTTTAATCCATCACTGCAGTCAGACTTTAGTTGCATAAGTTCATAGCACTTCATTAACTACTACGTGAATCCCTGCCGTGATGCCTGAATAATCGAGAGACAACAGACAGAGTCCACTTAAATCTGGCTGGCTGGAAGCTCCGTTACCTTCAGGGCATATTTTCATTTCAAAAAAATTTGTGCGCTGAATAGTGAGCAGGACCCTTCTCGCATAGCATGTGAGATTTTTTTATTATTATTTTTTGCACACCAAAAAAAAGGATTGGTTGGGTTCCAGGAAAAAAAAGATTTAGGAGAAAATAGCATGCCTGTTGTTGAAATATTATGTGTTTATTAGCTCAGGCTATTTTGCATTGCTGTTGCTATTACTGCCTTTAGTCTTTGTTTGTGGAAAATAATTTTTGCCTTAAACCATACAAACTGTTTTCGTTTACTTACTAATCAGTAAAATATCTCAGCGTGAGTACTTTTTTTTTTGCTTCAGCCCACAAACTTCTCCTTCGGGAACAGATTATTTCTAATTTTAGATGGAAAGAAAAAAGAAACTGATCATTTAAACTTCATTCTTTTTTCTGATCAGGTCCGTGTGTGCGCTGCAAACAGGGGTCAGGGGTCACGGCAGCCTGTGCCACATTTGACAGAAACTTGCCCAATAACTCAGTTGCAGTTCACCGCAATTTGATGGCCTAGGAAAACCGATCCTTACTAACCCTCTCTGTGACTTACCATGGCCTTCTGGTTTTCCTTCTTTGGGTAACTTCATCAGAGTAGTCTAATTTCTAACAACACATCAACAGCTATTAATTTGTTCCCAAGTTCATGGCTGAGCAAACCCTAAAAGTGATGAACTCTATTAAGGCCACAGATGTTTCATTCCCGATACCAAAAAATTCTTGAAGCCTATCCGAGACATCGTCAGACTTTATTCAGTTAAAGTCTGTGGTTTACCAACATTATTTATCTCTTTACAAAGGCCTCACACTCAACAACAAAGTCCCTGAGGAGACATGAGAGGCTTCTGTGTGGTATTTCCCTCCACAAGTGATCAAGGGACGGCATTTGATCGCAGGGTTACGCCAAGCTCACTCGGGATGTGTGTAATGAATTAGGGACTGTCAGAAGCAGGATCTTGGGGATATTTAACCAATCCAGAAGCTCAGCGCTCTTCCAGAACCAAAGCATTGCTGTTATTAAGCTGCCTCAGACCACCACCAAGACAAAACAACCAAGTACAGTCTGCCCCGGCATGTTGCTACACATTCTTACCATAATTCTCCTCTCAACACACCAGTAACTTTTAGGGCCACGAAACACTGTCAAAAAAGCATGCGAGCATGGTATGTAGCCACAAAATGTAAACATGGTAGTGTCCTTGCTGACAGTGCCTTGTTTTCTATTTTTATAAAGTGTGTGAGAGAAGATAATAACACAATTTATTCCATTCAAAAACATATAAACCAAAACGGAGCATGCTGGGCAGTTTGATTAAATGCAGAATTACTGGAGACATGGGCAGTGAGGCCACCTGGGTTGAGATAACATTTTAAGTGAATTCTAGGGATGTTCACTGATAAAGTGCTTTTTAGGAGCCAGACAGCACGTGGACACTCTCCATAGAGCACACACTGGTGTGAGTTATGTCAGTGTAAGAAGGAGACATGTCTGCTGTCAAAATGAGCCCAGTTTTCCCAGAGAGGCCATACAAAGAATGACTAAAAGGGTGAAAAGTTGCTCAGATCTTGTTTAAATGTGAGATTTTTCCACGTTGATACTCCTACTCCTGTGTCAGACTGTACTCCGACAGACTTTTAAAGCTGTTACTGACAGGGCACTGAGCATTGTTCTTCCTCTCGGGTTGTAAAACATAAGCACCTGCTTATTTGCAGTAAAATTTGCGATTTCTTTATTTTACTGGAATGTGTTCAGCTGCCATCGCATTGTCCTGCTGACAGAACACAGCATGTCAGTTTCATATTAGCTAATGATCGACAAAAACATCTTTAACGATGACTGGCTCCACGCAGATTGAAAAGAGGACGAAACATGGCAAAAACAACGAAATAACTAAGGACAGAACATTTACGATAACAGATGAAAACTGACGATCTCAGCCAGATGTTCTTCTTTCAGGGTTTTGATCGAGCAGGTTGGATGCTGCCGCCACAAAGCATCAGATGGTTTAATGGCCTCACTCAACCACCACCCCATAAAAAAATATTCACTGCTCGGGATCACTTTCAGACGGTTTGGCTAAGTGTCCGTGCAGTTCTGACCACATACACATAAACAAGCAACTAATAGCTTGCGGTCGGTAGCGCTGCTTTTGCAGCCATCAATCCTGACAAGTGATGGAGAAATGTACATCCAGATATTAGAGCAGTTTAATAGTCATCATTTCAATAACTCAATAACTATTGTCTTTCAATTAGAAGGGTTTTTCCCCTTATAGTATCTTCTTATTTTGAAATGATCTTTCTTTCCTGCTAGACAGAAAATTTTCAGGGTACACAGTTCATACTGCCGACAGAGGACATGTCAGTATAAGGTACAGAAAGCCAACCCCTGTCTTTTATAAGTTAGCAGGAAGGACTAGCTTTGTTCAAGGGGTCCGACATTCAACTCATTAAAGCAAAGTCTCTCCACTTAACGGATCTTAGCTATGCTTACTTGATAGGCTGCTTCTGGCAAACACAACTGGGACATGTCACCAAGTACAAGCCCTAAAAGAAAATGTAATTCATCAGCCTGCATAGTTTTGGGTTCTCCATGTTGTTGAAGGCTGGTCTGTCAGCAATGTGATGTAAGACTTCTAGCCCATGACTGACTTAGAAGAAAGCTTTGCTGTGCTACGCTGCACAGAACTATGCACTGTGGCAACTCTGGAGCATGCACAAAGAACCTGTTTTATCAAGGGAATCCTTTTTGTCTTGTTTTTTTTAACCACCTGTTTTGTATCACGACTACCTTTCTTTTTTTTCTGTATTTTTTTCTCTAGTGCTCACAATTTAACTGATACATCTTCCAGGTGAAGTGAAAGTGCACTTTCAGTCATCTTTCAGGCTCATTCAGCTGAGCAAATACCGGAATGAGAACGATGCTTATCTAATGTCCTAATTCTTGCAGATGCCAGGAGGACTGTTTTTCTAACTTTGGACGCTACTAAGTTCTCACACATAGCTCCAGAAAATCAGCGGACCTTTTACTGTGGGAGCATCTGCGGGGAATGAAATGCATCTGTTGTCCTCTGATCGCAGTGGGTTCAGCACTCAGCGCAGAACTGAGGCTGTGTGGAGGTGAGGGGAGTGTTCCTGTCTTTCCAGGTACAAAGCCACCCTTTTGTCAGCCCTGGAGATCTGAGCCTCAGCAAAGAAAAGGTCAGTGGGGGGGGTTCACATGCCTGGCGTTTTTACAATAACAGTAACTCAAGCACCCCTTCAAAGTTTTGTTTTTGAAACCTTTAAAATAGGAATGAGGTGATTTATGAGCGAAAAGGATTCTGCACTTAAAACTTTAAGCACTGGCTCCCTTAAAAATGTCACATTTAGAATATGGCTCTCCGAGTGCTCTCAGCTGTTTAGGCATGTGCCGAGGCCACGCTTCATGCTCCCCACGTTGGAGAACAAATTGAGTAGGGGAAGCAGCAAGCCCTTTAGGGTCCTTCAAACCCATACCTGCTGCTACTAATCAGCATGACAATCACCCACTAGTCGGCCATCCCCGCAGTGCCCAAAGGAAATCATTCAGCTCTGTAAGAGGGTTATAACCTGACTGGAGACTATATGCAATAGTTCAACACCTTGTCTCTCACAGCTCCCTCAGATTCTTCCCTCTTAACTCAAGTCTGATACCCTCAACATTACTGGTGGAGGGTCGAAACAGTCATCCTTTAGCCTCTAACAGAAAGTTTTCCAACCTCCTTCCTAATCCAATATAAAACTATGTTCCCAGTTTAAGTTGATGTGTCAGCACGGCAGCAGGAGGTGCCAAACTTTGGAGTGTGTTGTTTTGTCTGTCTTCCCCGTTGGCTGGAAATGGGTAAGGAATGCATGTCTGTGTCATTGGAGGGAAGGTACTTGTTGCTGAGTAAGGGATAAAGCAGAACGTGATGGGACTGTTGCCTCGTCCCTCGAAGCCACATGTCCGGCTGTAAAGGTAATCATGACATTATCCAGTGTTTTCTTTTTTTGCGAGCGTGCGATCGCACTAGACTGCCTTACTTATGGTAAGACGGTTTTCACTGTTTATGGAGAGCTCAGAGATCCAAGTGAATGGGCAGTGTAGACCCACGGTGTGCCTTAAAAAGGACTGAATATGCAAAAGCAATTCTTCACCGGCCTTTTAGATGTGATCTGTGCGACTGAGTCACTACTAAAACAGATGGCTCAAATAACTGGACACAAAGTATTCAGAGAATCTGTCTAGCAAAAACAGGTGGTTTTTCTATAAAGGACATTGATGTTCTTAATCTGAAGACATGCAACTACTGGACTCAGGCAGACAGGCATGTCCCTTGTCTAGACCAGAGAGGATACCTTCCATGTCTATATGGAGACCATATGGATTCATCTCTGAGCTTTTAGCTTTCACTTTGTTGCAGCTTTCGATTAGATTTCGCATAAGCAGTCCCTTAAATGATAATTTCATTAAAATTTCAACTGAAACTTGCTCTAAACCTTTTTTTTTACATTGATGACACTGCTCTTGTGCAGCAGAACACATTGTACAGAGACATTGAACAACACCACGGTTTTAAAAAAAACTTTAGATTTAATTTGAATGCACAAAACTACATTTGAACTACAGTCCGACAGCACTTTACTGTCTTCCTGGGTGATAGTCGAAACAGGTTGAAGCCTTTTCGTCACCGTTCACGTCAAGCAGCCAAGGAAGCTAACAAAAACATGACTTGGAGTGTTTATTCTGCCTTACAATAAGCATGTTTGACCACCCATTAAACAGACCGAGGCATGAATTTGGGTAGAAAGAAGCAAATCATCTCGTGGCAGGGAAATGGTCTTGTGTGGGCACTGGCTGCCAGAGGAGCTTGTTTAAACAGACCCAGACTGAAAGACTTAATGACCACGCTGACAGCAGTCATACGAGAAGCCTAGCGAGGGTGCTTGGTCTGCAGCTGCAGAGAGAAAGGAAGGGATGTTGTGGCCGTCTTGTCTTTAAGCAAGCCCCCAGAGAAAAGAAGCACATGAAGTTCATT